AAAGATGGTGAGATGGCACTGACAGCAGTTTGTAGCCTTTGAGTAGCTTTTTTTTTTTTTTTTTTCTGATAGTGGAAAAGTTACTGAAGAAAACAAGCTTTGTAATTCCTTGGTTTAGCGTGTGTCTGAATTCTTGCATGTAAATGAATAGACACAATGATGCATATGTCTGTTTGTTTCTAAGATTGTGATACCCTCTGCTGGCAAATATGTGAATATAGAAAGCAAGCGGCTTTACAATCAGGGCTGAAACATCCCCTTAACAAAATACCTTTCCTTCTATCAAGACAGTTTCCTCTTACAAATGCAACATCGTCAAAAGAGAAGTGTTTCATCGTAACCTATCGATTTTGACAAAGTTTTTATGGAAAAAAATCATGTTTTTTCTGGATGAGTTAAAATTACTTTGAAGTAAAATGCTTTAACGCTACAGAGAAAAATAGTACTTTTTTTCTGGATTCATGCAGTACTTCATTAGCCACATGCCGTTCTGTTTTATGCCTGGCACAGAAGCAGGTGATAACCGTCTTCTGTAAGTTTGTATGGCAATATGTTATTGATCATGATTCATTTACTTACCAAAGGTATTTGGCAGCTAGGCTGCCCTGATTTAATAGTTCCCTGAATTTCTGATTCTTTTTTTCCATCTTTGTTTTCCTAACTTTTCTGTCTTATAATATAAAAACGTTGAAAGGTTTGGAATGGGCTGGCGAGGGCTGTAAGCCCAGAAGCAAACACGCTCATGCCATATCAGACTTTTAAGCTTCTTGAAAGGGAAGGAATTGATTCCAGATTCTCAGGATGTGGCAAGCTGTGTTTAAAGAAAGTGTGTGCATTTATTATTTCAAGTCAGTTCAATTACAACGGGCTTGATTCCTTCCACCCCCCATGTCACTTGATAATTTTATAACAGGCCTCTCTGAAGGAGTCATCTCCTCATCGTGGGATTAGATCCACGCCTCACTTTGATAGCACAACTGGGTTATTCAGTTCTCCGGCCGTTGCCACCAGGCTTCACCGCTTGTACGTGAAACGACAAGTGCTCATTCACACAAGAACAGGAGGCCTTGGGAGAGTTGGGTAGCAGCAGTCTTAAAAATTATTTACTGAATGCTCTTGCTCAAGTTTTCATGGCCAGTTTGAGAGGGTTTGGTTGCTTAGTGATTGTTTAATATCTAGGCGGAGATCTTGTCTGAGCACAGGAAAGTAAACCAAGATCTTGTGAGTTTACTTTCGTTCCTCTGGTTGATGCTGAGCAAGTCACTCAAGCGCTGTACAGTAACCAGGGTAGCAACAATTTATGTATTCATTGGAGGAGGATGAAATTTAATTAATTGGAATGCTGTGTACATATTCAGTATCCTGCTTATTATTTTTTCTTGCGAGACTGTATACTGCAAACCAAGGGGACAACCTATAGTTACCACCCATTAACTGTCCCGCCTAAAATTGTAAGTTCTTTGGCTCATAGAATGAGCCCTTTGATTTCATTTATGAGTTTAAAAAGTTGTTCTTGAATTGAGTTCTTAGGGGGCACCAGCTCCAGTGTGGGTGGGCGCATTCATTAGTGGTATGGAAGGATATTTCACTGTACGGCTCTTCAGAAGGCGCTGAG